TTGGTGATGAAACGTTTGCAATCCAACTGCCAAGCTCGGCGAACCAACCAACAACCAAACAAATCCCTATGTTTATCCCTGGGTTTTATGTAGTCGAACCGGTTCAGCTGCAAGGAAGTCTTAAGCTATGCTTCCACGCTCGGCGAACAGACCAACAACCAAACAAATCCCTATGTTTATCCCTGGGTTTTATGTAGTCGAACCGGTTCAGCTGCAAGGAAGTTTTAAGCTCCGTATGCTTCCACAGGAAGTTGCTGAATACCATTTGAATCGCTGTCATCACGTACCAAGATAATTTTGTAGCCCACACAATAGGTGAAGTGGAGTGGTTTCCTTGGAATTTATAATGTTACACTCACTACTTAAGCTGAGCTGAAGGTCGACTTTTGCGCACACGGATTGATGGCAGTCTTTTGTGAACAAGGCAGAGTGGTAACTTGGAAGAATAACCATTTCAAATGGAAGATCATGGAAGTTAATTCCTCATCTGTGTGTGTTATGTAGTGGATTGATCGTTTCTCTTCACAGAAGTATTTCACCCGGCATACCGGCAGAATGTTACGCTTTCAATCAGGACTTCAAATCAACAGACTGGATGCACGCATCACTCACAATCAATTGCTGTAACATGGTGGAAACAACGATGTCTTATCAAGACACTGATGTCCGCAAAAGCATTCTGTCAGATGATTCTACTTTCTTTATATTTTTGTGAGCAGTACTCAGTAGGATCAATCTCAATTGGAAACGCGTGCTAAGCACAAAGCCCCTTATCCTCGAAACCATTGGATATAGGGTGACAGCTTGCCTGCTCACAGTATCAAACCAGGGGTCTCATATCACGCCGGCAGTTGTTTGATCTTATAGTCTAATCATGGAACGACGTAGCAAGAGCCGTTTTTCAACACGTGGCTGTAATGTCACTTCGTTCTGTCGAGTTTTAAAGAACCCACTCTTTTGCAAACAGTCTCTTTTTTCGTTTTTCAAATGCAACAGTTTGATAAAAGCAAAAGCACCTCATACTTTACACACCTGCGCGCTGTTAACATAACTACAGAGAAGTATCTACTACTACACAACATCTCTTCTCTCTTATCTCATCATTTAATGCACAACGCAGCTTCTCTTGCTCTCCGGAGGGTCGTGGTAGAAACATATCTGCCAACAATTCATACATCTTCCGGTAGATAGTCTTCAGAGTGGGGCAGGAAACTTCAAATTTCATGACAGGTTTCGGTTTTAGGGGCCAAGTAACTTGAGCANAAACTTGAGCATGGAAAGAGTGACGAAGTTTATTCTAACAACCATATTACGCAGAACGAGTACGAGTGACGTCATGACCTGTGTTTGGTTCACAGATAGTAAAAATGGATTGAAATAAATAAATAACACGGATGCCGGTAACTATGCAGCTAAATCATGGTAGGAGAAAGGTAAATGTGCACGTAGCACTTATAGATATGACAAATTAGGAGTTCAGAAAAGCGCTATTCCCTAGAGCTTCCTCTGTTGTTCTCCAAGTTTTTCGTTTCGAATCCAATAAAGTTCTGTTACAAAGTAATTCTGGTTTTATTGGCAGGAGTTACATGAACTATTATAAGTGGATCGTGCACATTTTGCTCACGACTTCAAGTAAAACTCTAAACAACGGGGAATAGTACTTAGACGTCTAGTAAATTCAGGTCGCTTGTAATAATCCCACACTTCGAATATACTGCCGTTCTTGATCGACAGATAATCCTCTTCAGATTTGGCCCATTGACCGAAAGATTAAATAAAGACGTCCATTCAAAATGAGCGCACGAAATAACGGATGTTGAAACGCTTTTGTGACCCTAGCTCGTTCAGTCCCATTATGCGAATGCAAACAACTGAGCATCGGCTACAAACTCATGTTTGAGCTACCCTTTTGGATTACCAAGTGCCTATTTCTTTTCGCGGTAGCTTTCTTTCCTGTGCAGAGGAATATGAACGGGTTATTTTAATCGCAGCTCTTTCTCAGGTGAAAAAATCCTCGAATTTTCAGTGGAACTTATTTTGGTTTTCGCCAATCCAGTCGCCTAGCAGGAGAACAACACTTATTCCTCGCGTTTCTCGCATTTCCTGCAGTAACCTCATGCAGATGATCTTATCAGTACAGATGATCTAGTGCCTCTGGGAATTATTAGACCATTCTTGAATGAACCGGACAAATTGTAGCTTTTATTGACAGGGAAAGATCTATTTTTCGGGAGGCCTACCAGCAGAAGTAAAGAAGGAAAGCGATACATTTTCTACCACAACTCAGTAGTTTGTAAGACTATGATATTTAGAGTCATCCTTTCTGTGTTGTCCGATGACTCTCAGTACAAACCAACTTGAGAAAAGTACCGATTTATGTACAGTGGCTGGAGACCAGCATGAATATCTGTACAGGGTTAGTCCGTGATGTAAACGATCAAAATGGTGTGTTCTGCTCAGCTTAAACGGACAGAAATGAAATAGCATTATTTCATCTTGCATACAATGAGACGGTTCTCCTACCGGAAACTTTGATGCGGAAAGTCAGCGACCCAGGAGTACATTTATATTTCCTCCGATACTGCATCAACAACAGAATGTTGCTCGTATATTTTTGTCGCATCACTTTGCATCAGTATAACTTCAACCACAACCGGTTCCACCATTCTGTGTAATGTCAAAAGCTGTTACTTGAAAGTCAAATGCATACCTGGGCTTAATTATGAAACTGCAGCACCAGTAGAACAGAAAAACCTACTTTGCTTGAATCAGGCCGACATCGGTTCGGACCGAGTATGGTCCTCAAGACACATGCAACTATTTTGATCGATGAAACTATGCATGATCTGAAAATAGCGCATCATTTCCACGAGACGATATCGAATCAAGACCCCGTTGTAAGGAATTGAATTTAGTAA